CACTTCGACTCGCGTTTGTTTGCCACGAATATAAAGCCAGACGTCTCGAAAGACGCTACCGGTTAAAACTGGAATTTACTTTGTCCGCGTCACGTTTGCCCAGAAAAATGTACGCTACAATTCCTAATCTTTGTCTTGTAATAATACAATTCCGCACCTTTCTAACGGGAAACGTTCCCATTCCCCGTGAACAAAAGTATAGGTATTTCCTGCTCCTCGAACTTTTAATCTCACTGCTCAGGAAATATTATTCGACGCGACGAGTTTTGCTCGAAGAAACACACGTCGAGTGTTTCGTTAAACAGTATCGAGGATAAAAATACGCTGATAGAAGGAGCGAATTAAGAAACTGATCCAGGCTTTCAAGACAATTTGCAACGGGAGTTTCTTCGCGTCTCTCGAAACACAAAATATAGAAACTAACAAGACAAGAGCCGGCAAATGGTTATATAATCGTCTGTTCGCGTGCGGCCAAGCATCGTTCAACTTCCGTTTCGGGTATCGAGATGATCAATCCTGCGGCGAGTTCAGCGTGCCACGATAGATCAGAATATTTACTCGGAATGCTATCTCCCGGTCAAATTAATGCAAGGACGTTCATTTTCCTGCGATCGTTCCTACTAACATGGATCTCAGGAATAATCGAATTATACGTACATGGATGTCTTGGTTAATTCGAGCATCTTATAAGGAATAGCATTCCTGTGTCTAGAGAACAGGATGATGTTCAAAGAAAACGTGAAGATTTAAAACAGTACGGCTATAGGAATTAGACACGCGTCGAACTCCATTAAAGGATACTTGGGATCGAAGAAATGGAATTTTCTGAGGCAACCGATACTCTATCGGATGTAACGAGAGCGTAACGACATTGGCCGGACCATAGGACGTCACAGCGACTTTAACCTGGTTAAGGATAACGGGAAAATCAAGTTAAACGACCCTCGCACTATTTACCCCTTCGTGGCCATCCGGCACGCTGGAGAATGCACTTAATTGCCGAACATTCTTTCGTTTCTCCCTATTCCACGGATCTCGTTGGACCAATTTTTCAAGCCTGTCTCTCCACGCCTTTAAACGCGATGATGATTCACTCTGGCCGTGACAAAAAAAATACTTAACGTTAAAAACCGAAATATTAATACTCGGAGGAATGGAAGAAAACCGTGGCGGCGATTCCGGAGGATGAAGGACCTAACCGAGACGACTTCTTTCTACCCTCCTCCGGCTCCTCCGCGGACCGCGTTCCAGATTTCCATGACGTATGCAGCGTGATAAAGTACACTCTCGACTCCGACCTCTCTTTTTGTTCCCGCGTTGAGTTTTTCAGGTAACACACCGGGACGGTTTTTCTTTGGATTTTAAAATAATCCAACCGACACGACCCACATCCTACGCACGGCGCTCGTCTAATTGAAACCGTAACCAAATTCGTAAATTCCAACGTGATCCAGAGTCGATCCGTCGAATCGAGGACGAATCGTTTCCTTCGCCGTTCGATGGGAATTCACCGTAGAAACGGTGTAGAACGATGGAAAACGTGTATTTCCGAAGCAGCCTGGCTAGTAGCCCGGTCGTAGATTAACGAGGGCCTTCGGTATCCAATTGGGATGATTTTTGCGTCTTGACACGACGAGGAAAACAGAATGGGCGGTTCTATGCGCGTTGAACGTGGCAGCTGAACGGACGATCAAGGGGATTGCAGCCGGCCACACGGAATAATGTGCCGGTATGAATTATGTGGCCGCTCGCTTGGAAATTTGCCGGATTATCAGCCTTGTCTGTCCGATCGTGATTATCCGCAGAAGGAAGCGTGAATAATAGGAATCGAACGGCATCGACTGTAAATTAACGTTGCTTTAATACACTCTCGACGCTATTCGACGCGACGCGACGCCTCTAGACAGCCATCCTCGATGATGCCCCTCTAATTGGACGCAATGCGTCTCTCGATTAACGTCGATATTCGTGCTTACAAAGTACTAGATGCGACAGGGAGACCACGCATACCGAATAGGACACGTCTCACGATGCGCCAAATTACTCGCAAACCTATCCGCGGGACTTTCGAACAAAGTTCAAACTTCTGGTTATTGGTAAAGGTACCAATGTCGACGAGGCAAGTTCGCGATACGATCTCCGTCGGAGTCGCAAACCGACGTGAACGAAATAAAAATTCAATTATCGAGATTTTCGATCGGTATATGAATTAACTCGAAGCGACGCCTGCGGGGTAAGATGTTCACGAAACGCGATCGTTCCTAATTAGTTGAAACTTTCCGCGAGACACTTTGCCAACGATAAGAAGTTTCCCCAGTTTCCCGAAATTTCACTCGAGCGCTTGATCATGCCATTAGTCAATTATATTATTCATGATAGATTACCGTAGACGCGCGGAAACTTACTGCCTATCTGTGTATATCCATTACTCACACTTGTCAGAAATTCCTTTACGTTAAAATCGGTAAGCCCGCCCACGTCTCGTCCATCCACCAACAAAGGTGTGGTTCGAGCATACGCTTTACCGCGTTATTTCTGTCTAATCGCCAAGCTGAACATTCGCGATTGTCGTACAGTATCCATTCGTTTCGAAAAATTACGTTTTCCGCGCGGAACCCACTTATCCAATTTGTTTTACCAATAATTTTTACCAACGACCTTGTTTACGCGTGGGAGTTTAAACGGATTCCCGATCCGCAAAATCTGCACAAACGATTTGAAAAACGAGACGACAGCCACGATTTATTTAAAGTATTAAACGTCGCTAAGGAGTTACGCGAGCAACAAATCGCAGAATTGGAATCGCGATGATACGATAATTGAATGGCGAGCGATAACATGTTCGAAAGAACTTATTAACTCGCAATTGTTCGATTTCACATTTAATACACCGACACGGTTGCTTTCCTCGATTGTTTCTCTCATTATGCGGCTCTTCTGTCTATATGTACACACGTACGTACATATATGCAAGGTACCTTTCTCGTCAAACGTTACGCTCGAAATTGTTCGCGGCTAATTGCAATTGATACATCGCTGAAAATGCCCGGCGAAACGAGAGAATCGATCGCGATAACGGGAAACGGTTAAATATCGAAACAACGTTCGCGGTTTGCCCGGAAATTTATCCAACGTTTAACGACGCTTTTCGAATTACGCGATGGCCCGCATGTTTTCCGACTGAAGAGAAAGTTACGATTATATAGACGAATCGGATCTTCTTCGACGCGATTAAATAATCTAATATTAATTTGCTTCGTATAATCGCGCGCCATTTTTTCTCTTGGGTTTCGATCGCGTACACATGTTTTTTCCTTTAAAAATAGTTAATTGCCTCTAGTTACGTTGTATTCCATGCACCTTACGGAAGCTTTGATATAGCTCTTACGAGGTATCAAAGAAGAATATCTCTCGTCCTGAAAATTTCCAAGATTCTGCCTCGCAGGAACACTGTGAAAAGCCCGTCGACGACAAACGATAAAAGACTATAAAACACCATCTGTGATTTAGAAAAAATTGGCGAGAAAGTCAGTCAAGCGTAACACTTGTGTATAGAGAGATGAAAAAATTTAATATCAAATATCTTTGTACATAAAAAGCATTGATGAAAAGAAATATGAACAGAATCGATGAGTTCGGGGGAGCTTGACGAGCTCTTCTTCTAAGAAAATGGATGCCTTCGATGTACGTATGTATGTAGTTAAGGTGGATGATTTCTGGGAACAAAAGCGATCGGTATTATTCCTAGCAGTACTCGAAATTCATCGATCGACCGAGACGCAAGAGATAGTAGATTCGAGTACGAACTCAAACAAAGGAAAGTGCGGTTTTATTATCGTAACCGTTTGCAAGTGGATTTCGAACGAGCTCGATGCACGCGGTTCTCCTTAATTTTCCAATATTTTAAAATAATGACGAGTGTTGCGACCAGATTGTTCGAAAGCAAGAGAATTAACGATGACCAATGTTGAAGAAGAAAGAAAGGAAGCCATGCTTTTCCATTTCCCTCCAATTTCCGGCGTGGAGTACATAAAGTTTCCACCCATTCTTCGATCCTTATTACGGAACGTCTCAAATGCCCCGTATACAAAGACGATTCTAAGAATTTTTTAAGCAAACGAGATAAAATAGAGATTCAACCCGAAGTCAACCCATTAGTTACGATCAATGGCGTCCTGTTCTTATTGGCAACGTCGAAACGATCGCGCCGATAATTATTAGTTACTCTTTCTTCGAAGAGATTTTACTTTGAAGGGGTTTGGAAAATCCGTTAAAAATGTTCGTTAAGAAATTTGATTTACCGGTGGCCTAAAGCGAACAGGATTAAAGTATCGGGCAACATAAAGCTCGCCGCTTTGATGCATAATCTGTAGGCTAGGTATATGTAATTTATATGCCGCCGCGGCGGTATTAAATCCACGAATGCCGCGCTATCGGTGGCAAATAAAAACAAACAAAACGAAGCGCTACTCGATCAATTAAGTTTCGATACACAAAAATTTCATCCGAAATTAAATCGACGAACGTTGGATAAACCATCGATGTCCTTTCCCTCGATTTCCCCGTTACCCTTTCCAGAACCTGAACGTCGGATATTAAATTCCATACGATCCGATACGTTCGGCGATCAATTTCGAGAGACAAGAAATTCCATCTTCGAACGCCCTCTGATTCTCCATGATTTACGAAACAGAGTGCGTTCAGCGTCGCTGTGTTTGTTAATTAAAATCGAGACAACAGAATTCGCTTCGATTCGTGATCGCGTCGGTGATCGCGAGAAACTGCCATCCGAGTTATAATTTGTAAAAAGATTATCAAGTTATTTCGCAATTACGAGCCAATAAATAGAAAATGGCGGAAGGGGGCGTATACGGTCGTCCAAGTCGATTCGATTGATATTTTATCCTCGAAGTTGAAAACAGTTTAAGACGAAAAGCCATTTCTCCGGGCTGCCTCCGCGCTGGTTTATTACCGAAGGTAATTTACTTGTCTCGACTTACCTGTAGGTAATGAAGGCGAAGACCAGCGCAACGAGGGACAAGCTTCCGCCCAGAACGACGATGAGGCTCAAAACGCCATCCTGATCGAACGAGCTGGCGATTCCTGTGGAAACTCCATTAGGGGAGCCGCCGTTCGATCGAGGGAATCCGTGGATCGCTCCCGTGTAAAGCGTCTCCATTTCTTTGCTACGCTCTCATCTGCGATCACAAGCAAACGTTTCGATTCTTACTAATTTCCCTCGTTCCTCCCATCTGGATCACACTGTATATCGTCTTTATTCGATTACTCGAACGAATATACACGATTAACACACACGAACCATACGAAGCTATATGATTTATGATTTCTGATTTCTGTGAAAAGCCAACCAAGGGATCGTGAAACGTCGATTAAGATTTATGATCTTCGATATTATACCCCGTTGCGTTCGTAAATCACACCTTATTCCTATTACGTTGCTGGGTTGCTATTACGGTATAGTCAACAGATTGTTATTTCGTTTGCATAATATCTCGAAAAGTCGAATACATTGATAATATCGCGTTTACGGAAGATACCGTACTCTCGTTATAATTGAATCCTCGATGGCCTTTTATAAGGCAGCGCGAAAGCATAATTTAATTTTTCGCTTAAACGTTTGAGATTCAACTTGACGACAAATATCGACAACGCGGTGACAAAAGATGCTCGCGGTCGATAATCCCTCTATAACGAATCATAAACATCGATTGGAATCGAGGAAGAAATCAAATTAATATTCTTTTCGCCGATAACTGGCAGGGAAAATTTAATTTGCGACCGAGTCTCGCGTATCATGGCGAGTGCAAATTGAAACAGGCCAGGTAATTTCCTGTAAAGAGGCGAATCAAAATGGCGGCGAACGCTACTAGCCGCAAATTGCGGCGTTCCCTTACGAAAATTCCGACTAATGCAAACCATTTCTACGCTGCCGCGTAATTTTCATTAACCAAGCAAATTCTACGGTTTTCGTTTTCAACATTTTCACGCCTTTCGACATTTATCGCGCTCCCGTGCTTCGTTAAACACGTTCCATCGACTGTCGTCGCAGAAACAGCATAAAGAGCATATCATTCGTTTAAAAAAAAAATGATCTTTATAAAATATTTGAGAGATCATCATTATCGATTACGTATTTCCGCAATTCCGAGCCCGACGAGTTATTTTCTTTTTCGTTGCTCGCAAATGAGTCCAACGATCGACAAGCCGTGCCCCGTCGTATATTTTTCTATCTAGTTTTCCGCATGGATTCGGCACTGGTTAAATGTAGTGACCTGATCACCTCGGATTTCCAGCTCAATTCACGAGAATGATCGTTGCCGTTTACAAATAAACCCCCGATACCGATGCACACTCTTTTCTGATCGTTAATGGTTCCGTTAATGCTCGCCTCGTGGTCATTTCGCCCCGTAAACTACGCTATCCTGACGTTACCTTTTTTTCACCGGATTGCAATGGAAACGAAGGAACAAAACAACGATTCGTTGCGCTTCGTTGGAATTTAAATAAAATTCTCGACGAAGTATTTCGATTCTTGTTGCATCTAGAACTACATTTACGTAGCTCTGCGTAGTTTTATCATCGACCAAACGTGCAAATATCAATTTTGTTGATCTCTTTTAATATACGTATAAGATACATTGGAAATAATAAGAACTTGAACCAATAAAATGGAGTAAATTGTGGACGAAAAACGTGTTACACGTAAAATCGTTGAGTTTTAAAATATCGTGCAACGCATCGAATAAGATACTCACCATAAGAAACAATGAAATTGTCAATTTGCCGAATAACGCGCGTCGCCGCGAGAACAATAAGATACCGTGAACCGTTTCACATCTTCTTCGGTGCCACGTGCTAACGAACACGTGCTTGGCGATGGGTGGAAGGCGATCGCGTGTCTTTAAATCGGAAATTAAATGGCGGCCTTGAAAAAAAGGGAACAGCCGATCGCGTCGTTGCGTGTTTCGCGTTTGCAACGGCACGCCGACATTCCCTCGACAACGTGCTCGCCGTCGCGACGCCCTCGGACTTGGACACCAGTCGGTCGGTCTCGCGATCGATCTCGCGACCAAAGCAAACGCAATGCACGATCGCTTTCGTTTTCGTTTTCCCACGATAGTCACCAAATCAACGAAAATATGCACGACTATTACCGTGATCGTTGGTCGACTAAATTCTCGATCGACGATCACTACAAAATGTAAAATTAATCGAAACGTTTAGTCGTCAAAAGGGAAACAGATTTTCCTATCAAAGATGCCGTACCTTCTTTTTCTTACACTCGATCCACGTTCGACCGATATAATGGAAACAACGATAAACAAAATTTAGTTTGTTATTGTTTTGACCGATGGTGCCGGTAGATTGGAAAACAATTGCGAGAAAAAATGATTCGTTGCAAGGAAACTAACGAAAATGAAATGAATACTCGCGTTAATTTAAAGTGGAAGAAAGTTCCTGCGAACCAACTTTACGTTGCCCGGCCTTATAAGATATGGATACACGTCGAAAATAATAATCTTACGCGAAGGAGCGAGATAGTGTTAAACGCGTGGTCATCGACACTTTTGTTCGTGAAAATGACGCGGATGATAAACGACACATGCGAACCGATGGAGCAACGGCGCTGAACTGCGAGAAAATTTGTTCGCGCTCAAGTCGTTTGCGCATCCCATGCCGCGCATATACTCGAACAATTAATTACGAGGAACAAAGATTCGGGCAAAAAACATTATACGAATCTAATATTATGCAACGTGACACTCGTGTATCGTTTTATGTTCGCTGTAACATGATATTTGAACGGTAGTTAAATATATTTTACCTACAATCAATGTTAATAAGGAAACAGATAACGATCTTGCTCCCCTTGTAAAAAATCGCTATACAGGAACTCAAATATTTTTATAACTCAAATGGAAATGAAATGATACATTTGATAAAAAGCTAAAGTTTATTTTTCTGTAATTTAGAAGAAAAAAAATGGCTTTATTTATAAAAAAAAAGGAAGAAAGTAACAGTCTATGCTTTAAACCACAGACAAGGTATATGAATAGAGCTTACACCTTATGGACTTTCGTGGCTCAGTCTGACTGCCATACCGACCTGAAAATTCGGAGGTGATTTTAGCGTCCTCTTCTCATGGATGGCGAACAGTTGAAAAACTATTCACTGAATTACTATTTCCGTAGAGCATCAAACAAATTTATTAAAAATGAAAAACAGACTTTTAAGAAAAATCGAGAGGGAATAAAATTCAGATCGTTTTAAAAAAAATATTATTAGTTGCAGGGGTCAATTACAATCATTTTTGGTCAATAGACATACCCCCAAAATCCAACGCGTTTTTGAGAAAAAAATTCGAGAAAGTGTGAAATTTTTCGACAAAATTAAGAAATTTCAAATCGTTCTAAAAAAATTATCTTTAGTTGCAGGGGGTAATTACAATCATTTTTGGTGAATAGACATACCCCCGAAATCCTACTCAGTTTCGAGAAAAAAATTCAATAAGTGGATAAATATTTCGACAAAATTAAAAAATTCCAAATCGTCTTAAAAAAATTATTTTTGCCTGCGGGTGTCAATTACGATCATTTTTGGTCAATAGACATACCCCCGAAATCCTACGCACTTTCGAGAAAAAAATTCTTTACCGAAAATGTCTGACCATACCATTGATTTGTTCCCCTGAATCATGAAAATCTTTAAAACATCATAACTCCTGAACGGATTGGCCGATTTCAATGTTTAAAAATGCAAACAACGCGTATTTTAATGGAGAATATGTAGAAATTCTAAAAATATTCGAAAAGTTGCTCCTTAATCCCGTAAAGTGAGAAAAACCCCAAAAAAATGTTTCAATCTTCAAACGTCCATAACTCCTACAATAGTGAATATTTTTCAATGAAATTTTTTTCTGAAGTAGAGCCCGTGGGTACCTACAAAAGAGTATTAGACAACTTTTCTGTAGGGCGTCAAACAAAATTATTAGAAATCAAAAACGAAATTTAAGGAAAATCGACAGGGGGTAGGTGCCTAAATTTTTCGGGGGAAAAAAAAAATTTCAAATCGTTTTGGAAAAATTATTATCGGTTGAGGGGATCGATTACAGTCATTTTTGGTCAATAGACATACCCCCGAAATCCAACGCGTTTTCGAGAAAAAAATTCGAGAAGATGTGACATTTTTCGACGAAATTTAAAAATTTCAAATCGTTCTAAAAAAATTATCTTTAGTTACAGGGGTCAGTTACAATCATTTTTGGTGAATAGACATACCTCCGAAATCCTATCCATTTTCGAGAAAAAAATTCGAGAAGGTGTGACATTTTTCGACGAAATTAAAAAATTCCAAATCGTTCTAAAAAAATTATCTTTAGTTACAGGGGTCAGTTACAATCATTTTTGATGAATAGACATACCCCCGAAATCCTACGCACTTTCGAGAAAAAAATTCTTTACCGAAAATATATGTGGCCGGAAACGTTACCCTGAAAATGCGTTTGTTTAAAACATCATAACTTCTGAACGGATTGGACGATTTTAATGCAAACCCCGTGTATTTTGGTGAAGAATATTTAGAAAATCTCAGAATGTTTTATAAGTTGTTGGTTAATCCCGTAAAGTGAGAAACACCCCATAAAAATGGCCCGATATTTCTTGCAGTGATAAATAGGTAAACCAATATAAACCTTACAAGCAGTTAAAAAACAAATCTTTGTTTATTATGTGTTTTGTACATAAAAAAAGGTTAAAATCTCGTTCGTAACTATAAAATATGTATTCGATGGAATAAAACGCAACAGTCAACTGTAAATATACAAGTAATGTTAAATCTAAAAAGTTAGTTGAACTTTAAATCTGTGCAGACTTATACATACAATAAATGAGCAAATATTTAACATTTTCTCGATACAATTCGTACACAATGCTACTAAAAAAACCCGTCAAATATTTGATGCTTAGAAATGTATAATTTGGCGTCTGTTAGACAATTTAAAATAAATTTAAATTTGTTATGTCAATTTACAACTACGTATTGTAATAACAATTTTCGAAGTTAGTGCATCGAATACACGCCTCCTTTGTCATTAAACTAATTAATTTACAGCAATTTACATGTCTAACATAAAAATTGTATAATTTATACAATATGCTAATCCTTGAGGAAGATACAGCTGTTGGATGGATGATCAGTCCACGGGACTATAATCGTTGGAAAATTCCATCTCGTGATACGTCTCCGCTATCCATCCAAGTAGATATTTCACTTTCTCTGTTGTTTCGTCCGATGCTCTAAAATCTCTTATAGCTTCCGTTAAACACCCTGATAGATGCTTCAATATCGACTATAAAAGTAAAAAAGATGTCGACAATAGTTCCATACAAAAATTTCTGTAGCTAATTTTAACGGGATGCACGAAAAGAAATATTTACCACGGGCCAATCTTGCCTAAGTAAAGCAACACATTGATCGCTAAGACTGTCGATATCTAAAATGTCCTTTGCAATTAATTTTTTAATAAATTTTCCAAGAAACGACCATACCTCCTCCTTATCTGGTTGAGCTAACAGCATGATATTTCTAGGACTGAATATTCTATGTACAGGAGAATCCAATTCCAAAACTTTCCAACGATCCATCGCCCATATCTTTATAAACTTTTCTTGAATGTTCGACGTGAGGAGATCGCTTCGATAAGCGACTGTAAACATAGAAAACTATTCGTGACGCATATAATTAACGATATAATGTTAAATTATTGTACATTAATAGAGCGTTACCTAGAAATAAAGCAAAATCCATACTAAGAGAATACAAAACTTTCTCGGGGCCTACCACAAGATCGGCTCTTTCGTTCAAAGTTTGATACAAATTATCCAATATGGTCGACACCGATGTTATCGTTAAAGAGGCTCCAGCATTGTCAAGTATATTCCACATGAATTCCTAATAAATAATTGCAATAAGATGTATTATTATTTTAATGTCTCCGAACGGTGCATGGAACAGATAGATATTTACTCTCAAATAGTCCGTAATGGTTGTTGGACTGATAGCATTCGGATTATGCTTCTTTTCTTGGACAGAATGCAATGGTACGTTATTCTTTAAAAATCTATTTAACTCGAGTTCCATGTCTTTTCTAAACAACGAGCCACCCATTATGTGGGACTGTATCCACTGATGTATTCGTTCTGTAGCCAATCTTGTTGCAATTTTAATACACATATCCTTCACGGATGCCAATGAATCTTCCGCCAAAAGAGATTCTATAGAATTAGCTACGCGTGTTTCGCAAATTGTCGGTATAAGCATTTCGCATTTGTCCTTCAATTCTTTAGACATATTTGTAGCAAAGGTATTCATATCACTTGCTAGAGATATCTGTAAAAATAATAATTAATTTCTGAAACCAATCTTTGCGCAACTTCAAAATCAACTTGTTTAAAATATATAGGTATTACCTCGAAATCTGTAATATCGTTAAGCAATGGTTCTTCTAATTTTTCCGATTGCCTTTCGCTTTGCTTCTTTTTCAAAACTTTTCGAAAATTATTCAAATTCGTTTCTCTAGAGGACATTAGCAATGTGTTACATATATGCTTAACACAAGTCGAGGCGACTCGTTCGGCCACAAAGTCAACAGTTTTTCGTGTAGATGCCGGTTGTCCGTGAAAAAATGCTTCCTCTAATTGCAACTGTTAAAACGTAAAAGATATAGTACTTTTCATGAAATATCTTTAATGATTAATAACTTTACCTCTAAATGCTTTACACCTGCGCTTCTGGCAGACTTATGAAGCTGACTAGAAACAGGTGTAATATGTTTATTCGAACAGTAGTGATTCACTTTCTCATTGGAATTTGTTACGGCAACGGTTACTTCGACCACAGGGCAGCATATACGCAACGTTCTTTCATTAATGATATCTAATTTGTCCAAATTATATTTGGTGGATGTAACCGGCACCACAGATTCTCCTAATAAAGCATTCTTTTGCACATAAAGTTTGTCAAGCTGTTGAAGACTTTGCAATTCTTTAACTTTATACGTCTTTTGCCAAGTGGGATACAAATCTTTTGGGAAATTTGGCAATTCAAATAACCAACCCAAAGTACGTTTCAAAAGAATTGCCGTTTGTCGAGAGATAGGACTGTCAGGCGCCGTAAAATCAGAATGATTTACGGCTTTATAAATATAATATAAAAGCTCCAAGATTTGCGTATAATGCGGTAACCGAAGAGATACAATATCCATCATAGCCAAATATTTTGCTGTCCAAGGTACAGTCAATGATAATTTTCCTAATGCTATTGCATTATGCAAGCAAAGATGTAAATTTATTACTGGTAAAACCTGAATAAAAAAACGTAACATTAGTTACCCTTATGTCAATAGCCGAATTCAATAACCGGGACACCCGGGTACCTCAAGCGTTCTATTTGGAATAAATCAGATAAGATGGAAAAGAGTACCCGTGTATCCAGTTATTGACACAAGGTTCAATGACACATCAAACTCCTTGCACCTAACTACATGCAAAGTGTATTGCTTACTTTACTTCTTACTTCCACTTGAGTTGTTATTAACTCTTTAAAATTATTTGAATCTGACCTATATGGCAAAGATACAACAAGACCTAATACTTTTGCAAGAAGGCGCAAACTAAATAAACAGGTAGTAAAATTTTGTTGTGTTTGCTCATCAGCTGTTGCTTCTGAAACAAATAAATCATATTAATCTATCAGCAACGTATACAGTAGTGGCCACATAAGTAACCGCGCTCGGTACCAGCCGCGATCATTTATATGGGCATGGTTACTTATAGCTGGCACCCGAAACCATGTATACAATATATCGATAACGATTGGCGTCAAGTTACGCTCGACACGCTCGATGTTCGAAGCCGCTTGGCTTTTAAGAATTTGTGGGGATAAGCGCGGACACTTACGCGGGCAAAAAATGCGGTCACTTATGTAGGCATTACTGTACATATACAACTGATACTTTATATTACAAAGTACATTAGTACCTGAATCTTCTATTTCACTGCCATTAAATTGAGTATCGTTCAATTCCATTATTTCATGAACCAAACAATTTTCTAAATGTACGTAAAAAATTGGATTAAAAGCAAACAGTATAAAATCTTTAAAAAATTCTTGCACTCCTGGAAAAGATGGTCCCATAATTTGATTTTTGGACGGCTGTGGAGTTACCAATCGCTTCTGAAGCTGATTTAACTTTTTTGGATTTATATGTTTCAAAGCTTTTAAGAAACTTATACTTTCGTCATCTTCCACTTCTACCTAAAAATAATAAGAAAATAAATTAAAAAGTAATAAATAATTTCTAGATAAACAACATAAATATCAAGACCAACCTGTTGTCTATTTTGTATGCAGGAAATTAAAAGTTGAGACTTAAATAATCTTGCAAAATGATAGTAATTTACAGCATCGTTATGCAATGTCAACATACTTTGTATCTTACTTCCCAAAGCTATCTGAAATATCCATCCTGGCCTCGTATGGTTCTCTTCCCATATTCGAAATATTTCATAAAACGAATCTCTTTGATTTTTGAAAGTTCGAAAAGCAACTGCGGATGGAAAATTTTCACGATTGTCGGTGTCTATTTGAAAACACACATTTAATTCCCCCATTGTTCGTAATTAGCTGTAAGAAAATAAATAGGTATATTTTTTAAAAAAATGAAATTCAACGTGACAGAAAGTCAACATATTTTATTCAAACATATTATAAATCACTATTTTGTGCAACCATACGAACAAATGCACGAGAAAAGAAATTCGATTAAACATTATTTAACACAATATACAAACATCAAGTTTCCAAGATATTCACGTTCATAACATTTTAAAACATACTCATTTACTCAAATTGTCGAATGCATGACGTTGTCGTAGCAAAATTCAAAACTTTCTTATTAGGTTATGTTTACAATTATTCTTGGAATTAGTCGTTAATGAAATAAATCTTGAACGATATCGATATACGCAATCACAATATTTTGACCGGAAATAATTGTTAAATATTATAAGATTATATTTTTCAATATACATATATTAATGCCATAATGTTCCATATTCTAACCGTTTATGTCTCTTATAAGACACCAACCCAACACCCATCCATTTTATGGTTGGAAATTTGATACATTCATCAAACGGTCAATAACGAATGCATCCAAAATTTATTTTCCCCGAAAGAAACAAAGAAGGCGTATTGTTAATAAAACTAGTTTATATATTTACAAAATATATATTTCTTTTTGTCATTGTACAAGGAAAATCTTAATTAGATTATATTCAAATATTTATTATCACCATTAAATGAAACTTATTATTACATATAATTATACTTGTTCATTTTCATTCTTCGGATTTCTAGTTTATCATTGACATCTAGAAAGTTTTAAATTACATTTCATTTCCGACAAGAGGATAACTGGCATCGCTAGCGATACCACAATGGTTTTCTTTATTCCTAGCAATCTTGATATATCCTTTATCACCCCATTGTTCTCCCCAACTGTTTTTCACCAACCAGTAGTCTTGACCGTCTTCGTCAGTTCCGTATCCCACCACTAGGACACCATGATCCAAGTTATCCGGGGAACATTGGGGTTCATAATAAACGCCTATAAATTTGTACATTTATACATAATTTTCACTGTACTTTAAAATATGCGTCATCGTCCTACACATTTTCATAATTATGATGTTTCTAGTAATAAATAAGCAAACCTTCGGAATAAAACTGGAAAGAAGAATGTGAAGCATCCATAGCAACAGAAACTGGTCCTACAGTAGCAACTGCTGCTTTGAGTTTGTGTTCATTTCCTTGAGGAATGTCTACAAAACCAACATCAGAGGCACCATTGTCCATTGGGTTATATCTATAATTTAAGAAATAATAAAATACAGCATCACACAAGTACTTACTAGATGTGCAAACTTATAGTTTGGGATAAAGTTACCTGCATGTATCATCTTCACCTTCATATGGATAAGTTATTTCTGTATCAACACCCTTATTGGCTTTAATATATTGGAAAGCTTGATCCATCATTCCTCCTTGGCATCCATTATTACCATATTTAACAGAACAATCGATTAAGTTTTGTTCGCTCAAAGAAATTAGGACTCCCGTTTGTCGGAAATGTTGTCCTTCTAAAGCTCCAGTCTATAATTGAAATTTATTCTTTAGGAAAGAGAATATTAAAGTAAAAACGCAATAAGTGTTTCCATAATCAAAGCTTGTACATTTAAAAGTAATTCAAACTAATGATGATCCAGCTATTAGCAGTAATAGAACTTACAGAAGAAAATGCCCAACAAGAACCACAGTGACCCTGATCTTTAACAGGTGTAACAGCACCATTTTCTCTCCAATCTATAGACTCTGGTAACACCACATTTGCTGGTTCTATAAATGTAGCACCTACAGGTGGCCTTTCAGATCTCAATCGAGTATTTATGGATTTGTTGTAACCATTTAATACGTTCACAATTTCATGATGAAGCTAAAGATAAAATAATAAAAGACAATAAATAAAAAATATAACATAATTAAAGACATTTTGAAAGTAAAACTTACCATGTCTCCGTATTTGTTCATCTTTAGTTTGAAGGAAACTTTCTTCATTTCAAAATTCCCATTGTGCTTAGCAATTTTGTGTTTGTTATCCAAGAATATCTTCATTCTGAACTTTTCTTCTATATCAGATTTGTACTCTTTGTTATGTTCCATCTAATAATTATTAACAAGATGAAGTAGTTCTTTTTATAAAAAAAATACAGAGATAAGAAATTTTATAAATAATTCCTTAATTCAAAATTATATTACTGTTTTTGTAAATACAATTTAAATCAATGTTTCAGAACATTAAGATATTATATATAAAATAAGAATGACTTTCATTATCAGTACATAAATGTACACAATAATAAAGGTCAAACTTAATCTAGAACTGATATAGTTGACATACATAAAGACTTCTAATACTTTATGTAGGATAACTGTGACACAGAATAAATATTAACATTATAAATCATATTATCGATGTTTATTACATAAAGATAATGATGCAAACAATTTATATACCTTAAAGGTTGTCCATTCTTCTTTGAACAATTCGTAGAAAGAAACTGCTTGTGTGGTGGCAAATGTTGCCATAATTAAAAGTAATAATATCTTCATGATTTCTATATTATATCTGGAAGCATATACAAAAACAAATTTTCTTTAATAAACCTACTTTTTAACATTCGCTTTTTTTTTTTTTTTGACAATTTTGAAGGAGTTTATTGTTAAAATTACACTTTTTAAATTGTACAATTAAAAATAACGGAAAGCAACAGTCGCAACAATTTTATTTTGTGATATTGAGATTGTTGTTCGCCTTGATATGTCGCGTAAATCACGAGAACAATGTGGTTGTAACACATCTAGTTCGTCTTTGTTTTAAACTTCGCATCGCGGTTAATATTTCCGTTATTAGATATTCCTAAATAAAGGAACATATGGGTCTGTTTATTGTGAAACACAAAGAACCGTTTTCTTTGTTTCCAATTAGCTTCAAACAAAGCACAATTACTACATTATGATTAACGAAAGTAATTTGATCTCTCCGCATAAAAGCAATCGTTGCAATGGTATGATATCTTATATTTCAACAAAATATACGGATTAGTCAAAAAGAAAAACAACAGAAAGATTCATTTTCCGTGTTTTATACTTAGATGCGTAGATAAAAGAACAAAAGAAATAATAATTATAAAATTACGTCACGTAGAAAAAGATAATAATCACAAAACCTGCTTGATTTTCCTCGATACAATTGTCATTGGTAACAAAACAGTATTTTTGGCCTACTTACTTAATTTAATTGACTGAAATTTTTCAAAAACAACGTCCAACGTTCAACGTCCACAACGTACTTTGTATCACTTTTGACTGAAGAAACCGTTTTCTCTTCCCTATATTCAATCATCTCTCTACCCAATGCTATATTATACCCTCTCCTCTTCTGCGTGATTCATCGTTGTTTGTTTCTGTGTATGGCAGCGTCTCCCAACTTCTGTGCATGCCACTACAATGACTTTTCTTTCTATATCTTTTATTTAAAATTACAGACAACCTTATTAGATCAATCAGCAATTCCGATTTACATTAAATATACCACCATAAAAATAAGTATGTTGATAAACTTATCAACACACATTAATATACCAATAAAGTATAGATAACAAAGAAACGTGTGTACCTATCACGAAACGATTCTTAAACAAATATAAATAGTGTCTATATAGCTACACACAATAAACAAATGTGATTTCTATGATATTTATTCATTCTATCTTTGCTTATCAATTTAATAGGTAATTACTTAATAATATTTTGTAAATTAAAGGACTTCGTTTTTCTTTTTATTTGTTAACATTCAATCTACGGCAGTACTTTTGCATATCGTTATGCTTTTATTATGTTACATAAAAGTTTTGTTAAATGTTATTCACATTTTTATTACGAACTTCTTTTATTCGATCCTCTTTTCTTTTGAAATCTAAAACAACAACGCAGTTTACAAATATCTGTAATAATTTATAACCTAATTTCATATATTTACTGTTGCAATCAATTATGAAACAATATATTCGTTCATAAGTTTTGGAAAATTGGGAAACACTGGAAGAATAATTTATCTACTCATACAATTTAAAAGAAACTTTATCTACACATGACTGTTCCAACATTTACCCCTAGTATGTATGCATATATTTAGATATGTATGTACGTACACTGCGGAGCATTAATTAGTTTTTGTTTCGAGGGAAAGTCACTAACATTCGACACAATTCCAAGCATTCTATTTCAGGAAAAGAGAAATACTGGATCTCTAAATGAAGCCGATGCTAGGGACTTTCCGTAAAACGAAGATGAATTAATGTCTTCGATCGTACATTTTTTGTGTACGTACATTCGATTTGCATACAATCGGCCATCCGTAACGAATAATCATCACATGCCATTGCAGTTGTCATGTGATTCTGATAACTATTTTGCAACCCACATATCAAATGTATCAGTATACAGTAAACAATGAAATTTTATAGCGGATAATGTTTCTACATTCTTATAATGGTTCGTTTTCATCCTATTAAATATTTAAAACATTGGTTTTAAGGGTTTATATTTACGACTTGAATCTTTCAGAAAAACTGGCGGTTGAACAAATTTAAAAGAAATTATTTTTATTTGAGGAAAGGGATATCACAAATTTTCATAAATGCGTGTAAACCAAGAATTACTTATATCCTTCGTTATTTTTGCTGGCATGAAAAAATGTGTCAGGAGCAAACGTGTTTGGTTCGAAGCTAAAAATATTATGATTTATATTATTTTTTTTTGCACGTTTGCGATTTGACAATTTGAAAATGTTTTGGTCATCAAAATATTTTAATTCTAATATTGTTTTCATATTTCGTCGAGTTTTTCTAAATCATTGAAAATCGTTGGCAAAATCCTTCGTTAAAAACAAACACTTAGCTATACCTATATGATGTGTTCACTGTACACAGTGTATACTTCTGCGCGGTACCATAGTACATACGACTACGTAATTCTGTACATCGTGTGGATTTTTCAATTAAAAAATGGCTTCGCCTAAAATAAATTTATACGATCTTTCGAAAAAAGATCGGGAAACATTAGAATGGAAATTCGCAAGAAGAAAGACATTGCGTGAACAATATTTGAGACAAATACTCCATCCAACGAAACAGCAAATAGTCGTACGTACCAATGGACATTTAACCTTATTTACGTGAGTTCAAATGTTACCGAAAATATAATTTATATAATCATATTAAAAGTTATCGACATTCACGCTTAATCGAGGAACTTGCATTTGTTTAACTTTTATTAATTTCGAAATATTTTAATAACTGCATAAGATATGAATATTATGTAAGTTATACCTTATGTAAAACTGTATATTTTGTAACATATATATATATATATATAGTCCGACGATGCAGTGAAAAGATATGCTACAATGAGATTGACGCAGGAATTTCAAGTAATGTTAACTGGGAAAAGTTTTATATTGTATTTTGGGTCATTGGTTGGACTGATGATAGGAGTTTCACAGTATATAATCAATATTAAGGTGAATTGTCAGTTTTAATAATGTTTTCAAAACAAATACATAGAATAAGGGAGTAATAAAATTTTTTGTGCCAGGATACTGAAGAACGAGAGAAACGAATGGGACTAGTGAGTTATGCTGATAGGCCAGTAAAAATACTATAAACTAGAGCTTATATATTAAAATTTTAGTCTATATTATAAAATAAACACAGACTATAATAACACGCATTAAAATATATCACCATTATTTTCCTTTATTTGATTAATTCCAACAAAGTAATTGAAATTTCAAATTCATCATTGTTAAAATAAATTTCTTTTTAACTTGGAAGAAATATATTATTACGTTAATTTGCTTTAAAGAATGAGTTCAAATTAGTAATACTAACAGAATAGTTTCAAATTTTATTTGTAAGATTTCTATACTTTTATACTTGTGTATTTCATTACAATATTTTTATTTTCTTCTTATCTTTGACTACCGGTCTTCGAGTTGTTTATCACGGGCAACAACTGCATCGTCAAATTTAACCATGTATGTTGTTCCTTTATGCCAATGTGCAGTCACCTTTGCTGGCTAGGAATAAAAATTAAAATTTTTTCAAATTAGATTTATATTTTATATTATATTTCATCAAGCAAGCTATAGAAATTAATAAGAATTCGTACTTACAAAACCACAGTCGCAAAGAATAGCTTCTACTACTCCAGCGATAAAAGAAGCACAGTTTAAACTTCCTTTATCTTTTGGTACAGATATAAATTTATTCACTAAAGCTTCTTTTTCTATGATATAGTAAGTACGCTCGTCGTCATTTGCATGTTCCAACTTGTCAGCCTCGCGGCCGAATAACGATTTCCATACTGTACTTTTAATGAACAATAAAATGTTCAATAATTTTATTTCACGTTTACCACCCCTCTCTCGAACAACAAGAAGATCTGTTATTCTGTGGCCCACTTCTGCGCCTATTTCTGCCAACCTAACCAATAAATATGAAAATGCTCGCTTTACGAAACAACGTTTCAATGATCTTCGTCGATTACGTACTTGTTTTGCAATTCTGGTACGGTGTAAACTCGATTTTGACAGTACTGTACGAGCTCCGAAAACAAAAGCGCGAAACAACTTAGACTAACCTCTCCTTTCCCCTTGCTTAACGATTTATCAAGAATGCTTGTTCGCATTCGAACCGCAGATATTGTAATAGTTGTCATTTCTACAAATGAACCGACGAGAAAAATAATTCTTTCTTTTTCTCGTCAAATTTAACTAACGAAACGTAATAACTGAATCAATAGTGACATCGGTTTTAACGTTCTCTCGTAGATTCGCCATCTGATGGTTGAACGAAAAATTACGCAACTTGTATGGAGATACATTGCTTTATTTAAAAAATTTTTAGAAAACAGAGTTACCTGTTATTATATTTTTGTACTCAATTTATTATTGACAAAGCAATACTTCAAAACCTTTACCATAGACACATACAACCGATCCGCTCCTATAATAGTACAATTTTAATATTAGTGGTATTTCAAATCCAAGTTTATTTCTAATCTTTTAATTCAAAGTATTAAATACTATATAAACAATCAACATACTTTGGAGTAGGCCACAAAGTTAATCCACTTACATCCGTCACAAATGTAGAAATTTGTTTTAAAACTTTCACAGATAAAGTGTCATTGGTGAAATGGTAACTATACATAATGACTTGTTGATCCAATCCAACACTAAAAATTTTATTGTTGTCGTGAAACTTTATTCCTAAAAGATATTGTTTCAAACTAAATAAATTCTTTTCGCAAAAAACATCTTTATATTCTTATTTTAGTGGCAGAATTTTGCGAGAATGTAAACGTTTCTAAGCAACGCAGATGTACCTGTAATTTGAGCATAGTGTTCCGTCGCGGTATTCCACTTTGATAACAATAAAATCTGTAATTCTTTCTCATCCCCAGATAAACAAATTTTAAAACGAATAAGATTAAATACATTGTCATCGCCGCCAGTTGCCAACAAATATTCATCTTTTTTAATCATTTTTATATCGTACGCATTAATTCCGGACTGATGGAAATTAAATTTCGCGATAAACACGTCGATACGGTCTTGAAATTGTTGATCTTCTTTCTGCGCTGGTTTTAATATTTCCGACACGGTATCGGTGAAATCAATAAAACGACCAATTCCATCGGTTGACATTGTTAATGCAACTATTTTCTCTGCACATGTTAAAATCCTTATTTTTGTTATGCAACGAGCAACACATTTCGCATGTACTTTCAACGAAATCTGTCTTGTATCGACATCGTACAAAAATATTCTGTAAACGATATTTCAATGAAAATTTGAATTTGCAACATTAACAAAAAAGTGGTCTGAACTTTCCGTTCGAACCATTTGGAATCTTTATTGTGAAACGTAATATTTGTCGGTGTAACGATTATTAAAAGTAAAAGAAATTCACCTTACAAATCCATCTGCACAAGCAACAAAGAGCAATATGTAACGCTCATTTTTTGTATTCCTATAGATGGCAATGTCCATGTATCGGGTCGAAGGTTCTATTACATGCGACCTATTATTTTTTTGCCATTGCTTCTTGCGAATTCGATCAAATCCACGCAACATATGAGACGTAATATCGTAACAGGATATATCTGTACTTTGTAAAATGTTTACACTATCGCTTATATTAATCTCCCATACTTTAATTTGCGATCTTCCGCCCCCCGAAAAAACCAGATGTTTCTTGCATGAGAAATTAGATTGGAAATTCAAGGTAGCTATTGATCTTATGCTGGAAATATGACCATCGAAAATACCTAATGTCCGAAAACTGAAATCATTTTCTATCAGTTCACTTGAAACGCTCGTAATACGGAGAGTTCCATCCTCTCCTCCAGATAGAAAAATATTATTCTGATTAATTATTGATATAGGATTAATGCAGTACACTTCTTTTGTGTGAAAACCATTCTGAAAATTTAAAAGTTAGAATACTCATTGTTGTAAGCTTTATCGATTAACATGATGACTGCAAATATATTACTTACTAATAGAACCGGCGGTTTTGTAAAATGTAACGAAACATCAAATACGTATATTTGTTTATTACGAATATAGAGGAATGTAATTAAATTATCTATCAACGTACAATCCCATGATCTATGCCCTCCGCCGCAAGGAACTCTTGTTATAATTCTATGATGGGACATGCTGTATACTATAAATTCTGCCTAGAAATAATAGTAAGAAAAAATAAATAAAATATTCAAGGCTTTTGCAGCTCGGGTTCTGACAGTCGGCACCGATTGAGGAAACGTCGGAATACTTCCCATAAAGGACACCCTTTCACCCAAAAGCCTCGACCAATATCAATTGTAAGAAAAATATATATAAATGTATATGTATCAAATTAATTTTGACCAATATTTGTATACCTCTCTAAAGCCGAGTATAAGGATATCGTGAGGAGTTTTCAAACTATTACTAATCCAATCCATTGGCATTTTTTCTTTATGTAAAGTATACAACACTTTTGTATTTTTGTGTATTTTTAATTCATAAAATCTTAACATTCCATCACGGCCGGCTGATATTAATTTGGAACCTAAGACTATAAAATTCTGAATACCAATGTTTCCATGAACTTTGGTAAAAGTTTGCATAGGTTTATTGTATTTTTCAACTACATTTGTCCGATCGTTTAAGATAGATTCTTGGAACTCGAATACATGCATATTTCCTGTTCTATCGCCGCATACTAATAAACCCTCGTAAACTACAGCTGCTGTTAACCAACGTTCCCGACTCGATGGTAATAGACATATGGATTGCATAATTATTGATCCTGCGTGAAACAAAAAGCAAAAAAGATAAAAAAACGGCAACTAAAAATTTTACTATATAGCAGATCTACATTAATTTGTGTACATACCTTCCGTATCAAAACTAAATATCTTTAAAATTCCATTTGATCCACAGACTGCCACTTTATTATCTTGTAACCACTGAACAGAAAATATTCGTGATTCCATTATCTTTTCTTCAAGAATCTGTTGTAACTTTCTATTGCTTGCAGTATCAGTCTCTAAAGATATATCATACAAGTTACTAAATAAGCTATATACTTTCCATAAAATTCAAATTTGCGTATGTATTCTTTTTTACCTTTATATATTGTTACATATCCATCTATTGATCCAAAACAAACATAATAACGGCACAAAGAAACTTCCATAATACAATATGTACTGTATCTTTCTAAATACATTGACTGTATTGGATTATTGTGCAATTTGTCAACGATACAAAGATTTCCATTTTCATTGAAAATCAAAAAGTTATTATTTAAATATGCAACGTATTTTGGTAAATTGCATGTATGATTTGTAGGTAACAGCATTGGACTCTGAGTATAATCATTAACAAGAGGCCATACATAAACTGCACCATCAGCTCCTCCAGTAAAAACATTTTTACTATCATTTGATACATCTATACTCCATAATGCTGCTCCATGATGAGCAGAAATTTTGCTGAGTAATTTACCATCCAAAGACCAGGTACACATAAGAGAATCCTTAAATTATAAATGTAAAAACTAAACCGGATAGTTGATTACATTACATATACATATAACATCATTTACCTCTCCTATTGTAATTAAAGTATCATTTCTGATTATAGATCTCCAAACTCTAGCAGTATGACCAAACATTGTTCTTATTAATTTTATTTCCACTTTTCTCCAGTTTATATCATCTCCTTCTTCATGGTCATTACACTTTAGTGTCCATAATCTTACTGTTCTATCATCAGATGTAGAACAAATTAGTTTTGTATGTAGATCGAATATAACTGAAAAAATTACACCCTGGAAGAAATTCCATACATGTAAACTCTTTAACCAAAATACAATCAGTCGTATTACTTTTAAATAATAAACTACTAACATTATGTCCATGCAAACGATGTAAAACGGATATATTTTGGAGATAAGAAGAAGTATGATTTACTTCCCATATTAAAATTTCCTGAAAAACTGTTCCACTAAAAATGATCAGGTCTTCGTTACTTTTTACTAAAATTGATCCGGCATACCTATGGTATGGTTAAGTTTACAGAATAAAATTGTATAAATATATTTGAATAAGGATACAGAATACATTTTTCTTCGCACCACACGTTTTGGCAGTGGTCATTAAATGTATCTAACAAACATACATTATTATGAGCTAACAATACAGCTAAATAATCACATCCTCCAAGTGTAAACCATTTTGTACTAATTATCCAATCATTAAGACATTTTTTGCTGTAACTTTCTTTGATTCTAAAACAAATATTTAATTTAAATGTAGAGTTAAATGAAACGTACGATAAAACACTAATACAATACGATATTTGATAAACTAACATCAATGTTCCCTGTTTTTTATAAATATTATAGGCGCAAAGAAAATTAGCACCGAATATAGCCAACTTATTATTAGGACCTTCGACAATTCCATGGATATTATACGGATAAAGACAATTTATTTTTCCTTCCAAGTTGTACGTGTCGGCATCAAAAATATGCAACGTGCATCCTATGCCTGCATAAATAATACATTAAGAAATAAAAAATTGAAAAAAAGAACGATTTTGCCATACGTACTACTTCGTTACGTATACATCAAACTAACCGACGAAAATTAAGTTGTTTACACAACGAATAACAAGTACGTCTGTGCACAGCAATTTCGATATCATTGTAATAATTTGTTTAAAAATGTGTGTCAGAGTCGTTTATAGAATTTATTAGAATTATGCATGTTACGATCATATGGAAATTATTACGCGAGGAATGGATGGGCATCGACATTGAATGATATATTCACTAGCGTCGAGATTTTCGAAAGCCTATCCGAGCCCGCCCGACTTTTGTCGACTTAACCCGAGCGCATGAATTCCCGCGCGCCTCCGACCAACTTGGTTCAGTTGTGTGTCGAGAAGGAGAAGGAGTAGTTGTTTCTTGCTCGAGTCCCCGAAGCGACGAAGTGTTTCGAACTCGTGTATATACAGCTTTTGCATTAGTACCATGTATGTTGTCTCCATAGCGTACTCTGCTAGGGGTATACCAAATTCGTCGTAATTGTCTTTGATTCCTGCACACTACGCACGTTTAGCATGCACGAAGGAAGGGCGGTAAACAGTTTCCTATGAACACCGATCTATGGTTAGGTTCAGTGATGTTGATTAGGATATGAATCTTAGAGAAACTGAATATTGCAGTGTATTGTCGCAGTTAATGATTATTATAGCTATTAATGTAATTGTAATGTAATAAAATTCGTAATTAAAATACAAATAAAATGATATATTAAGATTTAATTTGAAGGAAACATGGTTTGGAATATTCGATTGTCATTTCACAAATTCCTACGCAAGCATTCTTTAAATCGTAGCGTGTTATTGTATTCGCAAAAAGACGATTTAAATGTATTGAGGAATTTTTTACACGATAAACCAGCTATAATTTTAGGAATAGAATCTAGTTGCGATGATACAGGTTGTGGAATTGTTGATAGCACAGGAATTGTATTAGGCGAAGCTATTATTACTCAACATCTTACCCATTTAAAGTAATTCAAATTATTTCTTGTATTATTTTATATGTTCAGAAATGATGTTATATCATCCTATGTCTTTTAGTTTCGGAGGAATAATTCCTTCGTTCGCACGAGACATGCACGCGAATAACATTACTAAAGTTTGCGAAAACGCATTAAGATTCGCAAATATAAAATTAAAAGATATTACCGCAGTGGCTACGACTGTAAAGCCAGGTCTTCCTTTGTCTCTCGACGTTGGAACAAAGTTTGGAAAATATTTAGCAAAAATTGGAAATAAGCCTTTCATACCTATACATCATATGGAAGCTCATGCTTTAACAGCACGCATCAAAGAAAAAGTTTGTCAAGCAATATCTACTGTTTAGTATGGGATTATTAAGAAAATATAATGTATAACTTTTTTGCATATAGGTAGAGTTTCCTTATCTTGTTTTATTAGTTTCTGGAGGTCATTGTTTACTTGCAATTGTTGAAAATGTAGATAAATTTTATTTACTTGGTACTAATATAGATAATGCGCCTGGAGAGATTTTTGATAAGGTAAAAATAACATCCTATCTTTAATATCAAAATATATCGTTACAGCATAAATATATAAATAATACTAAATAACAGACATGCGTTTATAGGTTGCACGAAGACTGAAATTAAGAAATATTCCAGAATTTAGCACTTTAAATGGAGGATTAGCAATAGAAATTGCAGCACGTAAAGCATTGGATATTAATCAATTTTCATTTTACCCTGTAATGACACACAATTATGATTGTAATTTTAGTTTTGCTGGGTTGAGTTCTGCTTGTGTAGAGCATATTAAACGCGAGGAAATGAAGCATAATGTAACTGCTGATAGGGTAATTCCTAGTGTATATAATTTATGTGCAGCATTTCAATTGGCTAGCATAATACATATTTGTCAGAGAACTCAACGTGCAATGGAATTTATTGAAAAGAAAAAATTATTTCCTACAGACAAGCAGACACTGGTATGTTTAAAGACACTAAAAAAATGATTAAGGTTTACATTTTGTCCAAATGCTTTTTTATTACGTAGGTTGTATCTGGAGGAGTTGCTTGCAATGATTTTTTAGCCAAAGCATTAAGTATTCTATGTAGAGAATTGGGTTATAATTTTGTAAGAACACCACCAAAATTGTGTACAGATAATGGAATAATGATTGCTTGGAATGGAGTGGAAAGATGGGTTTCAAATACCGGTGTTGTTAGAGATCAAAATGAAATTGAAAAAGTGTGCGTAGACGGAAATGCTCCATTGGGAGAAGATTGGACAGAAAAGGTAAAAAACGAAAATCTAAAATGTAAATGGGTAAAAATAACCAAAGAACTTCTTTTAAGGACTTAGGAGTTTATTAAACTACATTATATAATTATTAATAATGTACAAAATTACAACTTAAATTACACGTTTTCAAAATGTAGACAGAATATAACAAAATTATTTTTCAAAAAATTTTATACAAGCGTAGGTGTATATCGTGCTGATTCTTTTTTCAACTTTTGATATAAATGATTTTCGTAATTGGAATTTTCAAAGAGTTTTTTTTCTTCATATTTGTCGATAATATTTCGTATTTTCTCTTTAATTTCTTGTATTTCGGTCTTATTCTTTGAAATCAAAGATGTCGTTAGAATGTCGTCGAATTGTACGACTTTTTTTGGCTGCATACCTTCATCAAACTCTGAAACTATTTCTGACAAATTGCTTAATTTTTCTTTAATTTCGTCGTAGATTTTATTTGCGCCGTTTGTGTCCATTTTATTTAATATAATCATCGAAGGTCTTTCCAGTAAATCAGGTTTATAAAGTTCAATCTCTTTGTTCAATAGAAGTATAGTCTCTAAACAAGATCTATGCTTATACTGATAACTAATTTGGAATCCCTGGATGTCTACAATAAATAATAATAATTTTGTTCTTTCTATATGCTTTAAAAAACGATGACCCATTCCTCTATTAGCATGTGCACCTTCGATCAAACCTGGCAAATCTGCAATGGAAATTTGCCTGCAATCTTGATACAATATAGTACCTATTTGTGGTTTTATAGTTGTGACTGAAAATAAACGTAAAACGAATCGAAACGTTAATATGTACACGTTTACTACAAAGTGTTAATATAGTTTAATAAACTTACATGGATAATCAGCAATTTTTGGTTTTGCCTTTGAAACAGCATTTAAAAGTGTACTCTTGCCTGCATTAGGAAAGCCAACTAGACCAATGTCGGCGATTAATTTAAGATCGAGAATTATAGATCGATTTTCACCCTTAAGTCCACAGAATCCAGTATCTTCACATCCCCCTATACCACCTTTGGCAACGATCACCTTTGCACCTTCTGAATTTAGTTCACCTGTATTTTCATAAATATATGCATAGAAAAGCATATAATAATCAACTATTATACGTGAAATTAAATATAAATCTATTATATATATTACCAAGCTTAATATTGTTTGTGTCATAAACAGTAATACCAACTGGAACATTTATATTTAAATCTGCCCCAGGTACACCAATAATGCCCATAGAAGTACTTGCACCTCCTGGTTCTGCTTTTATTTTTTTATCCTTCAATCTAGATTTGACAACCTCTAAAGTTAGTCCTTCTTTCGAAATAACACATACGTCTCCACCTTTTCCACCTATACCACCATAACGAGGAAGTCCGGAACCCCCAAAACCCCCCTTTACATGAATATATAAACTGTCTACTAATCCACGAGTCTTAAATTTCCTCGGTAGCTGTAAAATCAATTAAAGTTAATTTTTTTTTTATCAAACTATCGAGTTGGAACGTAGGTTCTTGCATATTGATATATTTACTTTTTTAATATAACCTAAAACGCATGTCCGTACCACCATTCTTATTACATAAAAGTCTATTTTCTCAAAACCTATTCAAAAATGTATTTTTATATGCTATTAATATATGCCACGGACGTTTTTATGTTTGTAACATAATACGATACGTAGCATAACTTCTCACGCGAATACAAAACAGAGGTTTCAGAAAGCAAGCTATATAAATACTTAAACTTCTAATCAGATGGCGCTCGTCAGTTTATCTGGTCAATTCAAGCTCGTAGCTGTTCTTTAAGCAAAGTAATAAGAATTCCGTTAATTTTAATAGGTTATTAATTCGAATAAAAGTGTTGAGTGCAAAAATCGAGATTACTTTTTCAACATTCAAAAAGAAAATCAACTTTATTTTGTCATTAATAGGAGGAAACGTAAGATTTGAAACGAAGTATGTACATATGTATGTATTTGAACGTAAAGGATGAAAGAATAAAAATCTTAGATTCGTTTCTAAATTAATCTGTTTATGTCTCGTTTGTAAATCGATTCGTAAATTAAGATTCATAGAAAATTGTTTAAACCAACATGAAATGTTGACAAAAAGTTAGTTTATAATAAAATTTGCTGGACTCTATTGTACAGTTGTGAAAAATGACAAAAGAACATCCTTTCTAAGTAAAATTGAAAGAAATAATGTTCTCCAATTGTAGGAAAGTACCTTTCGGTATTAATTTAATTACACATCGATTCTATTCCTGTGAACGTACAGAGTGGTCTGTGATTTGTAGGATAGAAAAGGATTGCTTGAAAACAAAGCCTCGTACATCCAGAATAGCTGACGTAAATCGAAAAAAAGACGTAAGCTGAGATAAACACAACATGCGTGCATATACAGATGTGCGTATTAACATTGCATTAGATTAAACGTTGAATGCCAGATCAACATAGTGAAATGTTTTACGAGATCAACATTTTGTTTTTAGCTAATCGGAGACATACTATTTAATTTTAAAGTCGTAGTTTTTTATTTTTATAACCTCGTCGAAATTCATGGGTCCTATGGGTGCTATCAAATCATCTATGTATAGGTAACCTTTTCGTTGTATTCGTATCGTTCGAGATCACGTCGCGTTGTTTCGTTGTTAACTTTTTTTCTAATTATCTTTATGCGTGTATAGTATACGAGCACGAGTGGTAGTATCGTTACGAGACACCCTGTAGCTCCGTACACGAACGGTTTCGACATCGAGCGTGGAAAGAGTATGAATTTCGAATGCATTCGAAAGATATTTCAATTGTTTCCGAGTCCGATTGTTGTAGGTTGCCGGTAGGATGCACCGTCGGGGTCAAGTGAAATCAATTGCGAAGTTTAGCAGGAATCAATTGATGGAAACACGTAAGAGAGAGAGAAGGAGTCGAACGGGGAGACGAGGTGGATGCATTAACGTATTTGTGTTCGTTGTTAGAGGAAGCTCGGAGGCTCGTCTAACGACGTACGCGTTAAAATTAAATCCAGCCGGAGGCCGACGTCTACGTCTTGCCGACGGCGACGACGACGGCGACGTCGCGACGAGATGCGTCCTCTAGCTCAGTCTCAAGAGCACACCCCGGCTGTACGGGTGTTCTTCGATCTTGAAACTTTTTTTTTCCTCACTTTTCCTCTCATTCGTCGTGCTTTCGTCGTCCGAGCTCAGCGGTAAATACGTTCCACGTCTTCGTTTCGCAATCGGCGGCCCGAGTTGGTGCAGATTCCCTCGTTAAGATAACATCCGTTACCGAACTCTTCTCTTTCTCTCTCCTACCGTTTCTGCCTTCGCTCGAGCACGAGGTAATTACAAAAAAAAAAAAAAAAAACAGTCATGCCTTTCTCGTAGCAAGTTTTTAGGCCCACCGTTGACGTAAACGGAACGTGTCCCGATTATTCGCGGTTGGTATTATTGGCCCGAGCAAGCTGATATTTCATACTAAGTAGAACGAATTACCAAAAGAATATTTCTCGTCGTAGTACAATTTTCAAATGACAGTTCGAACGCACGAACGCTGAATACGTCCAAGGAATATTGTCGATTCGTTCATTGATACGTACAGTTTTAACATAACAAGTGTTTATGTAATAAAGTTTGTTATTTTAAGTAAATTTAATGTACAATTTCGATCGTCGTCTTTAAATGAAATCTATCGATCTGTCGTATCGATTCGTTTGTAAACTGTTTTAAACATCGTGAGCTGTAAGTAGCGTTGCAAAGGTTACTTTGTTTCATATTGATTTTCTTGAATGATCGTAGAACGAAGTTTTCGATTAGAGTAGGGAGTGTGTCATCGAGTTATGTATTAGCCTTGATCGTTTGCCAAATAATCGATAGGGAAAGCGTACTATTGTCACGTTCTCGTGCTAATTATATGTCCAATATCTATGACGCGCTGTTGACAATTGTTATCGTTGCGTTGGGCGTCCGTTGAAAAATGTACTAACTCGATTTCGCGTTGGTTTCGAATACCGATACGATGGTGCTGTTAATAAATAAATAAATATATATCAATTTAAGCCCAAAATTGATCGTATTGTTGTTTGCAACAGATGGATCGAGACGACGAGGATTTTGGAGAGGGTTTCATCGCGGAATCTCATCCACTTAGGCCAACACATCTTTCCGTCCCTCTCGGTGGTCGATCTGATTCCAGAGCACCAAGTATCAGCAGCAGTGTCAGTGATCTGGATGCCCCAATTTATACCAGAGAAACCACTATACCTGTATCAGCTCGAAAAGTAAGTGCATCGTGTGTTTGTGCGTGTCATTGAACTTATTTATCGAAAAACCTAACCACACTCGAAGTATTTGCACAACTGTTTTCTGTCATTCTCGTAACATTTTCGACCACCTATATTTCTAACCTAAGTAATCGATAAGATATACATACATGGATATGTATGTTTTTAAACAAACTTTTTGAAGAAAATTTATTGATATTTAGTATACAACAAGGGACGATAATACAAATTTGGAAACAGTTAATTAGAAATATTGTACTATTTTTATATAGTGCAATAAAAAAAAAAGATGACGCATATGCAACAAGAATCAGTGCAACATAGTATAACAATAAATATGTTGACAAAGTAACGTCTCGTGATTGAACATTAACCTATATGTACGCATTTTTACGACACGAGCAAACAACAAAATGTTGCTTCCGTTTATGTAGATAAATCGATCGCGGGGAATATTTAATTTAACAATTTAAATTTCGAACAAAATTTTTCCCGTCCGTTTGTTTGTACTTGCATCGATTTGTGGGAATAATCGGAAGCGATAGACAAACATCTGATGGAATTTATCAAGTAGCTATTCTTGACCTTGCACACCACAGATCATTGATCGATTCTCTGGGGTTCGTAGAAAATATCGTTGCCTTCGGTAATACTTTCTTGATCGGACGATCTACGATTTCTTCGAATGACGCAAGACGTGTTCTCAACTGCAGCACGTAGATACGTATTTGACCCTAGTTAATAGAATTCTAAGCATTCAATTAATATGCCCTTAGTACCTATCGGATAATTAAACGATACTTATCGCTTGCAAAATAGACTCTATACCATGGCAGTGTTTTACGGTTACACGTTTCGAAATAAATACGTTCGATATTAAAATCTTATTTTAATCGAGAAGCAAACATCTTTCTTTGCTTTGTCTGTCGATGCACGAAGATTGAAAATACCGTGTCGAATCCGGAATAAGTAATAACAAATTTGTACAGCGACGAGTGACGTCGGCATTTCGAATAGTACATTCATGCTTTGTTAAAGTACCAATTATAATACACGCTATTCGAACGAGCGTCGCAAGAGGCACCCGTAGAAAATATTTTCACAATTCAATATTTACTTGTATTTAAGCATATATTTAAACATTTAACGTCCTACGTGATCGTCAACAGGTGCATTTTCCCTTTCGTTTGGCTCCCGGATCGAGATCCATACACATGTATTTGCATGCATACTTCCGTACGAGTCTGGAGGCAGTCTTATTGACCCAAACAGTAGTTCTCATACTGTGCTTGTGCGTAAAAAAGTAGTAACATTTATCGACATTATGGTGTTTTGTCTCTCGAATTATTCGTTAGTCCTTTCATAAATTTTAAACGATAAAAGTTCCGTCGTAAATGCTTCTCTTTTCTTAGGGCACTTGTTGAATAGTTTGTGGTTAGGGTAAGAATTTGAGAACACTTGGTAACCTAGCACGCGATTGGTCGGTTTGGTGGGTGTGCACAAGGCACGTCACCTGTCTGTGTTCTCCTATTCATCGGAGTATAATGTCGTCTGACGCAATCGGACATGAAAATTACGATAGAATGAACCTAAAGTATTACGTATCTACATCCTTGAGCAAAGATACTTAATTCGCAAGAAAGTTGCCCGCGCTACCGTGGTTTTATTTATCCAAATATTAATTTCACAATACTTACGAACTTACTGGAACAATGATGCCTATTGCACTGGATTTTAATTCGTGGATCGTTGTAACGACAAAAATTAGTGCCCGTTCGCAATAATCCTCTGCTAAGGGGGATAATAAAAATTAATTACGCGACGTAATGTAATTTTTTCGAAGCCATAATTCGTTCGAATGTTTGTTTCCTCTTGGGAGAATTTAGAAATACGTTTGTACATACATGTATAAATAAATATGTATTTCATTTATATATTCCGTTTTATTATTACAGTGTGCGTTCACAGATTGTAGTTCACGGTTGAATATTTTTAAACTTTAGATCCGTTGAATGCCACTGGTTTGAAGTAATGAAACGCAATTTGAAATGCAAATAATTGTTTTACGACATCGGCATGCTAAAAGAAATGACTTTGAATTTCTTGTCACGCGTTTACTTTGCAAAGATAACGCATTAATACCGAAACATTTCTTAATGGTTTACACATGTTTTTATCTTCTTTTTAAAATTCGTAATTAAATCGCAGAAGCCCGCGTAACGGAATAAAATAAAAATCAGATTAAAACAGATTACGAGTGTAATTGATTTAAAATTTGATTTGAAAAAAGGTGCAACTGTGAATAACGTTTGTTTCTCCGAGTTCGATCAGACTATTTGGTGCTGCTAGATACTCGATATTGCTACGTGCATACATTGTATTCGAATTGCAACATTATAAGCGAAATAGAAGGGAACGTAGGAAAAGAGAGACGGAATGATTCTTGGGGGCTCGCCATCTGTCGAGCAGTGACGTAGTTTTAGTTGCATTGAACGTGAAGCCATCGTCCGCCGCCTACGTTTAAAGCGCCATTCCTTTTTACCTGAGACAGCCAAGTGCGTTTCAGTTTAAGTAATTGCTCGACCGTTTTTTCCGTTCTTTTTTTATATTCAAATAAAATCGTAAAACATTCAACAGCTGAAGGTAAACGCTATTATTTATTCGAACACGGCGAAACCGGATTAGGACGCCGCTGTATATACAGCTGCTCGCAAAATTTAGCGTTAAGAATTTATTTAACTCGAAGAACTTAATAATATCACCTTTTTTTTTTTATAAAAAAATTTTTTCCTAGCTAGAATATTTTAAACTGCAGCCTCGTTTTTTAACGATTAAGAAGAAAGATCGTTGACGTTGCTCGACTATAGCTTGATCGTCTTCGAATGAAAAAATGCGCGGATGCCGTCACGCGTAAGTTGAAATGATATCGATCAACCAGTAAACGTTTGTCCCAAATAAGAATATGTGGAGGCGCAGGCTCGACAAAAAGATCCAAAATTAGAAGCCAGTATGCCTCGTACCTCACGCGTACACGTTTATTGTTCGTCGAAAAAATATTATTTACCACAAGTAAATTATTTTCGACGAGTATCTCGCGAAATAGTATCGAAATACCGTGCAAAAAGGTAGAGAAGATCTCGCCGATCGGCGTATAAAAATTCATGTTTAAATCGGCCTCGCGAAAAAGAATATATTTAGAAGATATACGTATTACGTAAAACTTGGGCCATTGTGAAATTCAAGAAGCACTGGCGCAGATACGGGCCTTAGAATCGCCATAAATGTAAGAGTTATGTTGCACAATATTTGTAATGGATAACATTTGGGGTTAATTACTCTTCGTGAAATAAAAATCGTATATCAATGGACAAAGGTTATTTCCAAAGTATATTGTTGTTTTCTACGAAGATGTAGAAAAATCTGGTATTATTATAATTATTCGTACGTTCGGATATAGCGTTTGAATGTTATGTGGTTATCTAATTGTACGTGTAAATGAATCGAATATGGAGGAACAGTTTTAATAATTGTCGAAATAAATGAGAGCGAGTTGGAGAAATATCGATACTATTTTTGGGGAAAGTTTGTTGTTCGCGTAGGGAAGAGAGATGAGGCAATCCTAGGTACGGGTTTGCGATGGAAGGTACAAGCAAGGGCCAGTAAACCGTCGCGCTTGCGCTGAAAAACAGCTGGGTTCTTGGTCGGTTGTTCATTTATCCAGAGGTTATAAGTACACGAGGATCGAACACGAACTCTCGGAATAGTTGTGCCCGCGTTTACTTCTACGTCATCGACAGTAAGTACACACATTTCGCTTGTCCCAACGCTTTCCATTCGCACGACAAGTCACTAGCTTTCTCCCGGTTCGAAGATTCGTCGAATGAATTACACACGTTTCCGCGTAAATGTCCGCTTAAATAAATTGGTTGTTACCATTGTCGACGCACGATATCGTGGTACTAACGTAAAACAGCTGACGAGTGCCCTATAACACTGGTCCACTAATTTTAAACAGCAATTTCTACTTTTTCTCAAATTTCTTTTGTTGTGTACCGACGCAAGATAGAACAGGGAGCAAGTTATTTGTACCTAGTTTATTTATTTAATTCGAGCACAGTGGATCAAAGTATTCGTACAGTTTTAGAGCTGTTAAATTTTACGAATTAAGAGGAGTTTATTTATCGTTTGACATAATTATCCCGTATATGGAGAAAAGATATTTCTCTGTAGTTATCATTCCTGACGATTACAGTAGCTAGAAACAGCAAGATATTTATAGTATTCTCGTTGAAATTGTTTGTCTAGTTAAAGTTATCCTGACGCATAGTTAAATCTGGTCGAATACATCTTTGAGTATAAAGAAATGTAAAATTGATTGTTTGTAGAGATCGTGTGATGTATCGAGGATAGTATTAATGACCGTTTCGTTGAAAAATGTAATTTCTTCGGTTTACAACGATACGTCGAATTATCACGGGTGATGAACCCGCTGTGTAATACTCAGCGATATTGTTTTCTTTGTATTGATCGGGACGGAGATTGTTTACATACAATTTATATACACGCAAACTTAGGCGGTTTGTCGATAACCTTTGCGTGATCTTTTTAATCGTGGTTTCGGTGATATTCGTACACGTAGTAAACTAAATTGCATTGGTTTTTGTAGCATATAAATATGTATACGTATATGTTATGTTCGAAGCAACAAGTAAGCACTGTTCGAATTGTATTGCGTCACGATAACATACAATTACCGAATGAAAAATTATTACAGATTGTATTAACAAGTTTAAAGAAAATTGATCAGTAAATAGTTATAGGATTACGCAATTAAACCAAGATTCAAAGAAAAATTTTAAACAGATTTTGTTTTATTAATTTACGATTAAACGACATAATTTATGGTTTTTTTTTTCAAGCAGCCTTACGATGGCGACGGAAAAGGACAAGGTATCGTTTAATATAGAAATTAATCAAAATTTAATAATTTTTTAAAT